TGGGGGTGGGGGACCAACCCAGCACTCCACATATGAAAGGCAGGTGCTCTGGCTCTGAGCTACATTCTCTAGCCCCAAACAGAGATTTGTTTGTTTGTTTTTGGTGGGGGGCGGTGTAGGAGGTACCCAGGGCTAACTCCTGACTCTGTGCTCAGAGATCTCTCCTGGCAGTGTTCAGGAAACCATTTGAGGTGCCAAGGATTGAACCGAGATCTGTCACATGCAAGGTAAGCTTCTTACCTGCTCTGCTACCTCTCTAGCCCTGTGATCAGGTATCTTGTAGACTCACTCAATTGAGGTTTATCTGATGTTATTCTCTTCCCATGAATAGACTTGTGTTGTGAGTTTGGGAGAGGAAAACAACAGAGTTAAATCTCACCACATCATATTATTGGTGTTGGGGTATGTTCCAGGGAGGGGTAGGGTTGATAAAAAAAAATCTGAAAGCTCTCTTACACAGTATGGACACAAAATCCTGCCAGCCTTACTACGAGGCATTACAGATGCACCTGGCTCTGTGCTCAGAAATCATTCCTGAAATGCTCTTGGGAGAGACAGATAGTGAAGCAAAGTAATTTTAAGGGAGTATTCTACTATGAAGGAGGGATTTGGGCTTCTCCATAGACAGTAGAGAGCCGTGGAAGTAAAGGAAATTTTGTACCCTTAAAGAAATTTATAGGCAACCCCACAAAGAAGTGCCATAAAGTAAAAGGGAGAACTGAAGCACCCAGAGTATAGGAGAAGGTGACTCCAGAATGGAGTGTCCTGAACTCTTTGGGAAATGTACTATATTGGGATTTCTCCCCCAAATTCCTCAAGTTGGACTTGTTGCTAGGGAGTTGTCAATCAGAAGCTCTTTTTTCTCTCTGGTGATTTGTCATTCTCTGTCTTGTTAGGACATTGTTCCGGCTCCTTGTCTCTGCATGGTCTTTGTCCTGAGCTGAAAGCAGGATGACTTTTTCAGAATATCTTTCTCTCCAAATATTTCTTGGTATTAGAGATTTTTGAAACTGATTTCTGAAATTTAATTACATGGGGCCCCTTACCTGCCCGTCTTCCTCAATCTCACGTGTATATACCAGCAACATGACTTTTCAATGTTGCTGGCAATCTTGATCATCCGCCTAAGGAATTTTAATCTCAATTTGTTTTTTGCTATTCATCTATCGTTTTTATGATATCTGGATTGGGCTCATAAATAGGTGGGATCATTTGATGAAATAACTATGAAGAATAAAAACAAATCTCCATGAGAGAAGAGTGGAAAGATTGGTTTTCAAATTCTAGCCCTGCCATTTTTCACTTACAACTTGAGCAATTTACTCCTGTAGCTAAAATGGAATAAGGGTACAAATAGTTCTTTCAAGCATCTGACAAAAAATAGGGGATGAAAAGATAGTTAAACAGGTAGGGTGCTTCTTGCCTTGCAGATGGCCAGCCCAGATTCAATCCCTGGCACCTCATATAACCCACCGAGCATGCCAGGAATGATTCCTGAGTGGGGAGTCAGAAGTAAGCCTGAGCACCATGGGTATGACCCCAAATCAACAAATAGTAGGAATATGTTTTGCACAATATGCTTGTTTCCTCCCTTCCTTTCATTGTTATTGCATTGATTAAGGGTTGCATACACTCCTGGGTATAGTACTTTCCAGAGGTTCCATGTTAAGTTGTACTATTTACACCAAAGTTCATGCCCATTGTCACCTTCTTTAGTTGTGATACTCAAACACATCCTGGCTGCAGTGCTTGGCAGGATTGCAGCTTGTTCATATGCTTGTTAGGCCTTTCCTGAGCGTGGTGCTTGCAAATCTTATAATGGTGGCTCACTAGGGGTCGCATACCTTTATTTGTGGTGCTCACATACACTTGTCTATGATGTGGGCTGAATTGTGAGTTCAACAATCACAGGTAGCAAAACTATTTTGAAATGGGAATAAATCTGTGGAACTTTTGCTTTCCCTGCACCTACATAAATACAGTATCATACTATTTTACATGGCAGCATCTCGTGTGAAAAATGAAAACACACAGAGTTAATTAGTTAATATGATGTTGAGGAAAAGATAGGTAAGAGGACTAATTGTAGTAAAGAATTCTCAGAGTTGCCTTGTACCGAAGTTTGTTTGCCAGCTGAGATTAGAGGGGATTTTGTAGATTGTATGAAACCAGGACAAAAACTGAAGTTTGATGTAAACTAATATGAATAATTTTGATGTTTTTTTTTATGTAGGAGTACTGCTATTTATTTAGCCACTGATTAGCTGATTGAATTGTGCATGAACTCCACCTTACTTTTTTTTTATTTTTTATGATTTTATTTATTGAATCACTGTGAGAGCAGTTACAAAGCTTTTGGGTCTAAGTCTCAGTCATACAATGAAACACCCATACCTTCACCAGTGCCCATTCTCCACCACCAAAAACCCCAGCATACCTCCATTCCACACCCTCCCCCTACCTGTGGGGAAGATGATTTCCACATTACTCTCTCTCTACTTTGATCACATTCAATATTTCGATACCAGACCCACCATTATTATTTGGGATTTTACCCCAACACTCAGATCTGCTGAAAAGGCAACAGTAGACAATTTGTGTTCTATTGCTGGTTATGAATAACATATGATGTTGCGTGGCTGCAGTAGGGCCATGTGATTTTGAAATGTGGAAATTTTAACACTTAAATCTGGAGGGATTTCTGCCAAAAGCCACTGGGTTTCGAGATTTGCTCCTGGGTCTCTGGGATCATGGCCGTTGAGCAGCTTGATCAGGAGCCAGAGAGGCTATTCGTGGGTGATGACTTGGGGTCTCATTGGGATGGGGAGACCAGGACTGGCTCCACTCCCATCCTGTGAAGCCCAACAAGTTTTGTCACTGCGGGCCCAGGCCTCACTGTCCAATGGCCTCTGGAGGATGACGGCCACTGAGCCGCCAGGGGGAAGCAGGCGGAGGGATAGCATCCTTTCCCCACGGGGTGGCCCAGCAACAGTAACCTACTGCGTGGTCCAGATGCATTTCTGCCAAAAGATGCTGGGTTTCGAGATTTGTTTCTGAGTCTCTGGGATCATGGCCGTTAAGCAGCTTGATCAGGAACCAGAGAGACCATTCGTGGGCGATGACTTGGGGTCTCGTTTGGGTGGGGAGTACAGGCCCGGCTCCACCCCCATCCCGTGAGGTCCTGTGTGTCTCGTCACTGGGGGCCCAAACCTGACTGTCCAGTGGCCTCTGAAGGATGGCGGCCACAGGGCCACGGGGGGCGGGGGGACAGGCCAAGGCATGAAACCTATTCCCACCTGGGTTGGCCCAGCACCGGTAACCTACTGCAGGGACCGGACGCATTTCTGCCAAAAGCTGCTGGGTTTCGAGATTTGTTTCTGAGTTTCTGGGATCATGGCCATTACGCAGTTTGATCAGGAACCAGAGAGGCCATGCCTCCAATTATATAGCTGAGTCGGAGGTGGTTTGTGGGTGTGTTTCCCACATACCTAACTTTTGGCCGTTTACTTTCTTGGTAAACTTTGCCCCAAATTTTTGGGGTCTGGCAAAAGGCACAGCAGCAACTTTGGAGTATCTGGAAGTCTGAAGGTGCCATCAGGCTGCTGATGCACTCGCCTCACAGGTACAGATTAACTTGCTGGCGGCACCATACCCCCTGATGTTATTTTTTTATCTGTGAGATAAATCATCATTCTTTGAGGTGCAATACTTTCAGAATACACTAGGATCATTACTCAAATGATTATTTTTGAAATGTACAGAGTATAGAAAAATTATCCAAATGTGGTAAATCTGCCTGCTTCAAAATTATCACCTGATTTGAATGAAAATATCGAAGTCTACATTTTATGATGCTTTATGTTCATGTTAGTTTTTGAGTATGATGCTTGAAAAATAAAGTGCCTTCATTTCTTCTTACACAGCTGAGAATTCAAAAAATCTTATATGCAAAGGACAAAGAAAATACAATGAAAAACTCATTTTAACTAATGCTAAACAGTGAGCATTAATAACAGCTAGACTGGTAAAGAGCGACGATATTAGACATCAAAGACCTGAATTCAAGCCTAGCTGTCTCAGTTATGAGACTTCAAGAGTTTCTGAAACATTTTTGTGTCTTTGATTCCTCACCTGTAAACCGGTCGAGGGGGATAACATGAGGCTAGGCCTACGGGAAAACACTTAAGAGAATTATTGTCTCTAGCCCCGCATGTGCCCGCTGGCTGGGTTCGTTATCATTACTCGAGTTGCATTACTCACCATTCTCTGAGGGCAATTTCTGGACTTTCTACTTGGAAGCCTAGCTCCAGGCAAAAGCAGCAGTGCATTTGAGGCGCACCACGTATCAAAGTTCTTTTGGTTTATGAGAGCCGTAACCTTGGAAACCAGGCTGGCACCACCCCTTTCTGTCACAAAAGCTTAGCTCCTCGTGCTTTTCTCTGTAACGTTCAGGACATTGCTATTGCATGAACAAAACCTCCTATTGAAGCAGGTACAAAATAGCCTTTTCTGCCCGCAGCTCACCTGCATAGGCCCCCTAAGGTTCACAGCCTCAAATGCTATCAAGGACGGACTCTCAAAAGAGCTGGGTCAAGTTCCCCAGCCGCCACCACACACACCCACACACAGACTCTGGGTCAAGGGTGAAATGAAGAATTGGTCTGAGGGAACTCTCCTCAGGTACAGAAGCAGCTCCAAACTGCCAGGGTTGACACAACACTCTCCCTAACTGATATAACCCTCGCGAGATAAGACGAAAGGGGGAGAGAAGCCCACTCTCTCGCGAGAAGAGGGGGGCGTCGGCGGAAACTAAGAAATGGCCCCCTAGGCGCCCCGGACCCAGCTGGTGGGCGGAGCCAGGGCGAAGCCCGCCCTCCGCCGGCTCCCTTCCCCACCCCCTCGCCCTGAGGTGCGGGCCGCAGGTGCGGGCGGCCGGATCCTCGGGTTCCTGCCGAAAGTACAGGTTTGTGCTTTTTCAGCCTCGGGAAGGCGCTCGGCCCGGTTTTCGGAGGGGGCGGGGAGGGGCCTGAGGCTTGCGGCCCCGCCCCCTTCTCCGGCTCGCCCCCGGGCGGGTCGGTCAGCCTCCAGCTCCGGCCGGCTCGGGGCCGCGTCCCCCGGGCCGCTCGGCGACCGAGGCCCGAGCTCCTGCTCGCAGGTGTCGGCGTGCGGCCCCTGGGCACGGCCTGCTTCGGCCCCATGGTGGGTTTCGGGGCCAACCGGCGGGCCGGCCGCCTGCCGTCCTTCGTTCTGGTGGTGCTGCTGGTGGTGATTGTCGCCCTGGCCTTCAACTACTGGAGCATCTCCTCCCGCCACGTCCTGCTTCAGGAAGAAGTGGCCGAGCTGCAGAGCCAGGTCCAGCGGACCGAGGTGGCCCGCGGGCGCCTGGAGAAGCGCAATTCCGACCTCTTGCTCCTAGTGGACTCGCACAAGAAGCAGATCGACCTGAAGGAGGCTGACTATGGCCGTCTCAGCAGCCGGCTGCAGGCGAGGGAAGGCCTGGGGAAGAGATGCGAGGATGACAAGGTAAGGACGAGCCCTGTCCCTTCAACGCCCATGGCTGCTTCCAGCTTCTGGAGGGGCGGGGGAGCGGTCTTGGCTCCCAGCGACTGCCTTGTGTCTTCCAGGATTACAGCCTGGAGGCGCCCCTTAAGGCCACCGGCCTTATTTGATAGAAATTTCCAGGTTTGTCACTGTCCAATTCCCGATCAGTCTCTGCGGACGAAACTGGCCTTGAGTTCTGTTTCTCATGAGTGGCCTGCTTGTGGATGCCGCCTTTTCTCCGAGCTCAGATGCTGAGCTGGCAGTAGTAATCATGTGGCCGGCTTCCGTTCACAGAAGGACAGATTGGAAACTGCCAGGCTTGATATGGATCTTGTTGCCTCTTCCTTATGTCTTGCACCCCGATCAGTATTAATTTAAAGGAGATTTTCTCTAACTTGTCTGTTCAAGGTGGTCACCATTTGTATTGTCAAAGCAGCAAGACTTTCCTTAAATCTAAATAAAGCGATGGATTAAAGAATTAGCTGTTAATGCCTTTTGTGATAAATTAGGCTAGATGGGAGCCATAGATGAGCTGCGTTTGTGACTTGAAGGTAGTAATTCAAAATTAGGTACTCAATTTGAATTGTTAATGAAATTAGTCAAAAGGGTAGAATCTAAAAATATGTTCCAAATAGAATTTCATGCCAGCGTCCTCGTTATTGTTGAAATAAAAATGAAATTTTGTATGCCTAAGTAGCTATTAGATTTGGTGTTTTATGTAGATGTATGCTATACAGTGTTTTATATGGAAAAGTTTAAAGCTGAATGTAACTGTCTGCTACTAAATTGTCTTTGTTCTTACTAGCATATCTGGGAGCTCTATATTTGTTTATGACTTATGCAACTTCTGTTGGTATAACAATCTTAAAAATTTCTGGATGAGTTAGGTAAATACCTCCTTTTTTGGGCCTTCCTTTGGTAACCTTCACATTGTTTTGTGTGTGTGTGTGTGTTTCTATTGTAATTACAGTTTTTTAATATCAAAATCATATATAATAAATAATTAAAAATTAAAATCTCCAGAAGTTTCCAACTTTCTTATTGTCTACCAGCCTCTACCTTCCAATTTCATGAAGCTTGAGACCCACCAGTGTTTTTCCAGAAATGCCTTTTCATCCTATATAATATAGATAGACATTCATGAGTGACAAGAGATAGCAGATTTATACACATACTACATGATGAATTCTTCAGATTGAAAAGTTCTCTTGGGTGGAGGCAGATACTAATGAAATTATTAGAATGTTCAGATAAGTCTTTGGACTTGGAACTTGGAACCTTTATGCATTATTATTCACATTCCTCTTACCTCCAATTCAAAAAGATAAGTATGTCTTTTGGGGGCCATACCCAGCAGTGCTCAGGGCTTACTTCTGGCTCTGCACTAAGGGATTGCTCCTGGAAGGCTCCAAGGACTGTGTGGGGTGCCAGTGATTAAACTAGAGTTGGCCATATTCAAGGCAAGCACCCTGTTTTACAATTGCTCCAGCTCCAAGATAAATCTTTTCTAGTACTTTATATTCCAATTGTTTTGTTGTTGTTGTTTTCAGTAGGTTATCACGCTAAGTTTAAATCAGGTATGAATTTGTTCCCTGTACTAAATTTTTTTTTTGTTATTCCGTGTAATCCCTTCTCCCAACTAACACAATGTTTGTTTTCCCTTTTATACTTTTACTGCTAAACTCCAAATGTTGGTTTAGAAATGTTTTATCAATTTCTTCTTTAAACCCTAATAATGCCAGTCTTTTCTGTCTGCCATCCTTTCTTTCCTACTTTACTAAAGCTATTCCCATGAAAAGCCCAAGTGACAGTTTTCCTTGTTATATCCCCCACCCCCCCAAATTTTATACTCAGGATCTTCTCCTGGCAGTACTCAGCTTTTCACTTTACTGTCTCAGAAGTTTGCTTTAGTTTATTGTCTTTAGCTTCTTGGAAACTCTCTGGTTTCTTGTTTCTGTTATGCTGCACTTGATACTGTATTCTCTATTTTATTACTCCCTCCCTTCTTTTCCTTTCCTTTTGTCTCGCTGCTGCTGCTGCTGCTGCTGCTGCTGCTGCTGCTGCTGCTGCTGCTGCTGCTGCTACTGCATGACTGAGGCTAACACCCCATGCCTGCTGTTTGGTTGGTTGTTTGTTGGGGTCTCACTTTTTCAGTTGTGGTGCTCATAGGGATATTGCACTTCCCGGCCTTGTGCTCACATAACTTTTGGGTTGTGGTGCTTGCCCAGGGTCACATGCCTTCAGTTGAGGGACCTGGTTGTGGTGGTGTAGGAAATCACCGTAGCACTGGGGATTACAGTGGAGCTTCCACACACAAACAGCAGAGCCCTTGGCTGGGACTCACTCAACCTCCATAGCAGCACCAGGGATGAAATTCTTTGCACCGAGCCATCTCCCAGGACCTCTGTCCTACCTCCTTTTAATATTTTTTAATTTGGGGGCCATACCTGGCAGTGCTCAGGGCTTACTCCTGTCTCAGCATTAAGGAATCATTTCTCCTGCCCATCTCCTACCTTCTTTACTATATTCTTCAAAGGATTCCCGCCCCCGCCTCTAGCCACCTCATAATAAACTGTTTTGGAACCTCTGTTTTACCTTTAGAATAGTGCTTTTCGAGGTGATGTTAAACAGAATTTTAGGAATTGTTGACAAACAAATAGAAAGACTTACCTTTTGTGGGAGGGAACTGTTAAATAGTTTTAGTGTATCCTCTTGAAGTTCAGAAATGCTTCTGGGGGTTGGGGGAAAGAGGGCTCAAAGGCCTGGAGTGCATGCTTCATATCTGCGAGCCCCAGGTTTGATCCCTGGAACTATGCATGGTCCCTTAAGCACTATAGAGTGTTCCCACCTTCTCAGAAAAAAAAAATGCAATAAAATACCTGCTTGTGGGGCCAGAGAGATAGTACAGCCTGTAGGGTGTTTGCCTTGCATGCAGTAGACCTGAGTTCATTCTCCAGCACCTCATATGATATCCTGAGCACCTCCAGGATTGATCCCTGAGGGCTGAGCCAGGAGTAACCTCTGAGCATCACTGGGTGTTGCCCCTAAACTAAAATAAATAAATAAAATGGCTGCTTGTATAGGATAGAGAAATCTGTCAGTATGGAAATTTAGAATGATTTAGTGTTTAAGTTAATTTGAATACAGATTTCCATTATTATGGCTTACCTGTTATGATGGTTCAAAAGGAATGTAGAATTTAGCAAAGCACACTGATTTGGGAAATGTCCTACTTGTCTTGACTACCTTTTGTTTGGCTAATATTCTGTGCACCTGGCTCACAGATTTGTGTCTCTTTAATATCAATTTTATATTTTGACCTAATGTTCTAGGCATGCTTGCTCTTAGGATTCGTGAGGAGGAGCTAAGCTACTAATAGAAAGGGTTGTCCTTTTTTAAATTTATTTTTGGGTTACACCTGGAAATGAGCAGGACTATTCCTGTCTCTGTGCTCAGAGATCACTCCTGGTGGTTCTGGGGATGTGGAAGAACCATATGCTCTGCTGAGGATCCAGCTTGGGTCAGTGACATGCAAGGCAAGCACCTTACACCCTATATAATCTCTCTGACCCCTTAATAAGGGTCTAGATCATCTAAAGATGAAATTTGTCTATCAAATGTTTCTGATTTGTATTAGTCCCTCGATATCTGGAAAAATATTGGTAAATCACACATTCCAAGCTTTGAAGATTACAGATATAATTTAGTTTCTACTTGTGATTTTTAGGGCAGGTTATTTAACTACTTGGACCTGTTTCCTCATCCGTAAAATGGAGATCATAAGCTAACCTTGGTTTTGTACAGATCTGAAATCACATTTTTGTTAAGAAGGATCAAGCTTCACACAGAACAAGTCAAGTTGTAGCAAAAACAGCCTTGAAACTTTGTTTTGCAACAGATTGAAAAATCCCTCTGGGTGTGGGGCCAGAGAAATGGTATAGTGGGTAGGGCATTTGCCTTGGACCTGGGTTCAATTCTCTGTGTCTCATATGTTCCCCCTGATCCCCTCCAGGAGTGATCCCTGAGTGCAGAGCCAGGACTAAACCCTGAGCACTGCAGGTGTGCCCCCCTACCCCCCAAGAAATTCCTCTGAGGATGATAGTGTTGGAGAAAGTAAATTGCTGGCTTGGGAGTTTTGCGAGGTAGCTCAAAGGGCTAGCGTGCATGCTCTGCATGTGAGTGCCCTGGGTTCTATCCCTGACACCACACAGACCCTTGAAAACCAAGCTGGGCATCGATGGTCCCTTCCCCCTGCCCCTGTACCACTGGGTATGGCCCCCAAACAAGCAGACTATTAAAAATAGCTCCTCTACTTTAAAATAGACTTGCTCAGGTTAATGTCTCCTGAGCAGTAGGCTCTATCTTTCCAAGTTTTATCTGTAGCTTATCGTAGTGGTGGTCTCCATACGCTTACTCTTTGTGTTTGGAGGCAAACACTATTTAGTTTGGTATACATTCTTCCCTAGGATACGAAGTCCCCAGTCTAATTATTAGAAAGCAACAGAGAAACTCATCTTGAAGATCAATCTAAAATATACCTGACTGATACTCTTCAAAAAAAGTTAATATTGAAAAGATGGCCTCTCCCAGATAATGCTGCTTCTGCATATTATATTTGAAATCAAGGCAATCAGAGGCTAGGAGAGTTAACTAAGGATTGACTGAGGCATTGAAAGCACCAAATAGAATATTGTAATAGAATATTGACACTTGTTTTGTGGGATTGAAATTTTTCTTGTTTAAACTAAACAAATTGAGATTTCCTTAATTACAGCTTACTATTCAACTATTTGAGAAAAGTTGAGTCCTAACTATTCAACTTCCATTGCTAAGTTAGTGTCTGAGGTTAAATCTTAGAAGTTTTCAAGGAAATGTGGGTAATGACACTAAATATGCCTGAGATTTTGGGAATCCTGAGTGGTCCTTACCTTAACATTTGTGATTGCATGCCTAATTAAGCATTTCCTTCAGAACCTTTTGGA